GGTTTTTTTTGTGGTAGTTTTGTTGAAGTTATATTTTGGAATAAAGTTTGATTTACGTGCGTGTGTGTGTGTGTGTAAAATTTCAGATATATTTAAAAATATATCTATAAACGAACAATATTTATATGATATCCTTGTGTCTTTATTCATATATATTTTCCTTGTCTTTACTCATACATATATATTTTCCTTTTCTCATATATAGTTTTCATTTTGTCATTTTATATATATATATATATATATATATATATATATATATATATAATTTTGTGTGTATTGATATAATAGGAAAGAACTGTTAGATTGATGATCAAAAGTTCTTTAGTATCTTTGTTTTTTTTTTATTTATATTACATATATATATATATATATATATATATATATATATATATAAATATATATATATATATATATGTGTGTGTGTGTGTGTGTAAGCAAATATATGGATATAGATCCGATAGTATAAAGAAAATATATGGAAAAAAAAAAATCCGAATATGCAAACATTAAAACAGCATAATTGCATATTCGGATTTTTTTTTTTTTTTCATATTTTTCTTTTCATATATATATATATATATATATATATATATAGAGAGAGAGAGAGAGAGAGAGATAGAGATAGATGAAGAAATACAGTTTTAAGGTATGGTATATTTATGGGATAAAGTGCTCAATATCAGAGATAGAGCGTATGTAAATATAAAAGTGAACATTAAAGTCAACACTCAGAGGCGAGAGGCTGTTTCGTGCTAGACGCAATCGTAGCACGTTCCGAATCAATCGCCAACTAAGCAAAAACTTAGGGTTGCTGAGATAATCCGGTGCTGGCGCCATATACCAAAAGGAACGCAACTAAATATTTAGTCGGGTTTAATAAATCTGTTCACAACTCTGTGTGTGTGTATACATACATACATATATATATATATATATATATATATATAATGGACTCTCCAGCAGGTTTCGACGTATGAGGATCAGCTTAATTGACTAGGTTATGACATTTTGTGCGATAATCTTGTGGCACGTAAGACCCGCTAGTGATTTACGAAGGAGGCCACATATGGAGCAAGAGTGAGGATTGTGGGATGAGATCACTGTTAGATTGGCAGACCTTTTAGATCTTGCTCTCACTTCTTGAAGATGATTCAGACAAACAGATTGAAAACTACTGAGTCCACTAAAACACGTTGATCTCCATTCTTCTGGCTCCAAGGCTAAGCGCTCAATGGTCTTATGCTGTATATTGATAGCTGACGAGTTGCTTTTCAGCCTGTCTTTGTATTTTAGTCATGGGCGTCCTACATTCCTGTAGTCCTGATCTAACTGGCTGTACATTAGGATCTTGAATATCCTGTCATCAGACATTCTCAAGACATGACCAGTCCATCGTAACTGAGACTGTATGAGAAAAGTCTCGATTCCTCCAATATTACACTTGTTAAACAAGTCTGCGTTAGATGTATATCTATCTATCTATCTATCTATCTATCTATCTATCTATCTATCTATATATATATATATATATATATATATATATATATATATTATAAATCCAGGGTTTAAATGAGCAGATCTGCATATACTCTGTCCCAAAACAACCTTATATTATGAAATAAATTATATAAATACATAATAGCAATAAAAAGATAAGTACTCAATGTTGAAGAAAAAGCTGGAAGGTGATAATGCCACTAAGCCGCAAGGCGTTACTGGTAGTGAAAGAGAATGAGAAATATTTAGTTAAAGAAACTGAAATGATTTTAGTGAGGAGAAAGAAAAATAAAAGAACAGGTTTTAGGAAGACAGAAGATAGTGATTGGCGTTGCATTTCAAAACTTTTTAAGATTGTAGGTAACAGGGAAGCAAGAAATTAGAGGGGAGTTCCACAGGTGAAAAGAGTGAGAAAATAAACTATTACAAGAGAACTTAACAGTTGCATCTAGTTCAACAATGAAACGGTGAAACCTAGTTGCCAATCTAGTCGCACGTTGAAATTCATACACTCGGGATGCCAAAGAGGAAAGCTCATCAGAACAATTGCCATAAAGATGAGTAATAAAATTATTTATGACCTTTGCCTGTCGAAAAGAAAGAAATGAGTGACTGGCTGTTGGACAAAAGAAATAAAAAAAATTGATGACATCCTGCAAGTACAGGAAAAATATAAAGTAAAGAATTTACATCCTACATATTTTTTTTTATCATTTCAGCCCAAATAAGACAATAAAGCCACTAAGACGCAAGTAGTTACTGAGCGTGAAAGAATATGAAAAAAAAAATTAAAGTGAGAAAACAATAAAAGATCAGGAATTAAGAAGGCGGAAATTAACAATTGACATTGCAATTAAACTTTTGAAGATCAAAGTTGACTGGAAAACAAGAAACCGGAAGTGAGTTCCACAAGCGAGACGTGCGAGAAAAGAAACTGTTAGCATAGAATTTATGTTTAAATCTAGCCATTAACTGTAAAATGATGAGACCTTACCGTCGATCTAGGAGTATGCTTAAATGAATTTAAGCATACTCCTAGATGGATAGCATACAAGTTGTTATCTTCGAAGAGACCAACCAAGTAAACTTCACTGACCTCCTGTAGAGCCATGACGGCAGAGCTCTGGAAACGGGGATCGGTCTTGAAATCTTAGGCGATTTCACGTACAAGACGTTGGAAAGGAAGCTTCCTGATGAGAAGCTCGGTGGATTTTTGATAACGTCTGATCTCTCTAAGAGCCACAGTACCTGACCTGTAACGATCTCATTTTCTTGACGCCAACAGTGGCTGGTGCGCTTTTACGGGCAGCTTTGGTGACCAACTGATTGTGTGGTGCCTTGCCTCCTGTTGATTTTCGAGCGGTCTGCTTAGTACGAGCCATAGTAAACGAAACTTGAAAATGAACTTAAAATTAGAAGAGAATCGAAGTTATTTATACTGAGGCCTTGGTGGGTAGAGAAGGTAGGGTACCAAAGTGGAAAAATCATCAGAACACTGTAGTTCTATGAATTAATATTCCAATTTAAAATTACTTCTGGCATAAAATTCTGAGTAGTGGCTACCCAAGGTAAACGTTGAGTGTTGGCGGGTAGGATTATAGAGTTTGTGTTTTTGTCGTCGGAATAAAAACAACAGATGTCAGGAAGACAGACGATGGCGATTGGCATTGAATTTAAATTTTTGATGGCGGTCGGCATTGCATTTAAATTTTTGAAAATGACAGGGAAGCAGGAAATCGGAAAGGAGATCCATAGAAGAAAGAAGGAACAGATAAAGAAAACCTAAGAAAGTAATAGATAGATAGATAGATAGATAGATAGATAGATAGGAATGATAAATAGACATTAGATAGATAGATAGATAGATAGATAGATAGATAGATAGATAGATAGATAGATAGATAGGAACGGAATGATAAATAGACATTAGATAGATAGATAGATAGATAGATAGATAGATAGGAACGGAATGATAAATAGACATTAGATAGATAGATAGATAGATAGATAGATAGATAGATAGATAGATAGAAACCGGATGATAAATAGACATGACATAGATAGTGTTATGGGACCTTACCCATAATAACATAATGGACTATTCCATACGTAATAAATATTCCGCCTCAAGAGGAAGCAGAGAGTTCAGCCTGAAGTCGGACGACCGGCTGAACGAGGCTACGCCGAAGGGCGGAGTCTCTTTCGGGAAGGTAAACCGACTCTGAATCCGTTTATACGGGTTCAAAGGGCATATTTTTGGCCGAGCCCACGGTCTCGGAGATCCCACGTTAAATCTTAAAAAAAACATGATGCCCTCGTGTGGGGGGGGTGACTAAATACTGTTCAGTCTGAAGTCTGGAGTGATGTCCGTCAGAAGTCCGTCAGTCAGTCAGTCAGTCGAGTCGAGTCAGTCAGTCAGTTTCAGTCAAGTCAAAGGCAGTCCGAAACAGAGTCGCGTTCAGAGAATTACTACTAAACCTGATTGTTCGTACTAACCCTTTCTACTTCTCTGTATATATTCCTGTTTGTAATATATCTGTGTTATTTCATATACGTGTTCGAGTTCTTCTTTATTGGTTCTACCTTGGACTATCACCGTGGTACAAGGAACCGGATCATAACAGATAAATAGATAGATAAGATTGATTTGTTTTCCATGGCTTATCAATATTTTGTGGGTTATCTAAAGCCAGAAAAATATTTGTCTATCTTTCGGAGATGAGGTACTACTGTCTTCATCTTTGTCGCCATATTTATTACAACGTTTCGGCCATTGTACGCTCCGGCCTTCTCCAGCTGGTTGGAATGTCGAACTGAACTCTTTATTTCACTCATTGGGATAGGCTGTTCTAGTTCCAGTTATCTCCTGCTAATTTCCCTCTGAAAGTTCTCAACTGCCTTAAATTGAACTGTATTGAACTCACACTCTTTGTCACTGGATCTAACTAACGCCTTTACCCACTGTGCCAGTTGTCCTTGAGGACATCTGTGTATGCATTTCTGGGTATTATAAACCTAATGTTTTCAGCAACCATTTTTTACCAGTGCTCATATTGTAATTTTTGCTGTTATCATTACATGTTTTTACCAGAGATCATATTGCAATTTTTGTTGTTATTATCGCTTTTCTCTAGCACTCCGTATTACTGGTTCCCATATTGTATTCATTTCTATGCTTGGTCGGCTCAGGAGATTTTTGTGGCCTAGTATATAAAATATTTGTAGATTGTTGTTGGTGTTTGTACCTACTTTGTAGGACTTTTCAACTTTGTATGTTCGTTTTCAAACGCTGAGGATGAAATGATGTGGATAGTGCAGAAGTCTAAATATTTTCTCAATGTATTTCTCCCCTTCATCTGGGTATTCAGGGTTAAATATTCTAAGGGCCCTGAGGTAAAATCCTATGATTACTCCTGATTTTATTTTTTGTCTCTGGTGGCAATAGAAATTGAATAAATGATTTTTCTTTACCGTAAATTTTAAATCAACTTTGATATTGTTAGTTATTCATATGATGTCGAGGAAAGAATACAAAGATGCAGAAGAGAAATATATTGAAAAATGTTTACATAGATAGATAGATAGATAGATAGATAGATAGATAGATAGATAGATTTTAGAAAGAAAGAAGGAATGGATAAAGAAATAAAATCCAAGAAAGTGATTGATAGATAGATAAGAACCGAATGATAAATAGACATGACATAGATAGATAGATAGATAGATTTTAGAAAGAAAGAATGAACAGAGAAAAAAGAAAACTTAAGAAAGTGATGGATAGATAGATAAATAGATAGATAACTTTAGAAAGAAGGAATAGATAAAGAAATAAAACCTAAGAAAGTGATAGATAGATAGATAGATAGATAGATAGATAGATAGATAGATAGATAGATAGATAGATTAGAGAAAGAAAGAAAACCTAAGAAAGTGATAGATAGATAGATAGATAGATAGATAGATAGATAGATAGATAGATAGATAGATAGATTTTAGAAAGAAAGAAGGAATGGATAAAGAAATAAAATCCAAGAAAGTGATAGATAGATAAGAACCGAATGATAAATAGACATGACATAGATAGATAGATAGATAGATAGATAGATAGATTAGAGAAAGAAAGAAAACCTGAGAAATTGATAGATAGATAGATAGATAGATTTCAGAAATAAATAATGGATAGAGAAAAGAAGAAAACCTTAGAAAGTAATAGACAGATAGATATGAACATAGAGACAGACAGATAAATAGATAGAAAATTAAACGACATTATATAACTGTCAATGTTTATTGTCAGCAACAGCAATTAAGTCGTGTAACGATAACCGCAATTTACTTGTTTTCTTTGAAAATATTCACGACAGACGGTTTAGACGAAACTTGTTGCTCAAACAATATACAGGGTGCGATGAGTAAATTGTAACCATTTTATATTTTTAATTTCGTGCACGCTCGTTGTTTGTTTTTTTTATTTTGTCGACATCACAGTATAGTAGGGTCGGTTGGGCACCGTCCGTGAGAAAAAAGCACCATGACGCAATTCACTCTGCCAGAAATTTGGAAACGGCTGTACGGCTTGGCATTCGCGCCGGAATCTTCAATACGAACATTTCAGACTGCGTGTCAATCTGCGGGCAGCACAGAGAATTCGGAAAGAGTTGGATGAGTCTAATGGTGATTACGAAGGTGTTTGGAGTTATTATTGATGGCGACATTATGCCTCTATTCTCTTCCCACAAGGCCTCATACGGAGGCCTACAGCAATTGCCTTGAGGAGGTAATCCTGTCCTGGGACAAGAGGGTGGCTGCTGAAAGACCTTATATCAGGCACCATGCCACACAAGCAGGAAAACCCAGACTTGGCTGTCAGACAATTTCTGCGACCACATAAACCCTTACATCTGGCCACCTAACTCCCCAGACTGCCATCTCCTTGATTATTACGTGTGAAGCACAGTTGAGCGAGAGACCAACAAAACTCCTTGTAACACCAAAGATGAATTGAAGGCAAGGATTATGGCAGCATTCATCAAAACCTCCAGAAGACTTGCAGGAGATTCCGAAGTCGTCTGGAGGCTCTGGTTGAAGCCAGTGGTGATTTTATTGAATAAATTTATTTTTTAGTATTTCAAGATATTTTTGTGCAATTTTGGTAAATATATTTGTTAAAACGAGATGTCAGTAATATTTTCATTATTGCGTAATTTAGACGACAATTTATCTATCGCACCATATATATAGGTTAATACATCTTCCGTTTCAAATTTAGACACCCCCACCTTTCCCTGACTTGACATCTACGAAAGTAACTCTATACTGATACTTATTATTGATACCCAACACCCGCCTACCCAACTTAAACAATTCGCCTTAGCTGTTACCATGGAAATTTTGATTTCAGTTTTTAAACACGTAAATTTTAGAAACATGTTATTCCCAAAAAACTTTCGCTTGAAGATGGAACAGAGCTTATTTTAACTCAATTTAATTTAAATAATTATATTGACGTTTTCGGCTCTTGTTTTGAAACATGGGACTTCTTATGTCGCGATTTGGAATCATATTTTTAAATATATATATATATATATATATATATATTTCAAGTTAACATCCCAAGTTCTCGAAAATGTTTTCTTGATTGTTGGATTGTTATTCAGTTTTTAAACATAGAACTGAAAACAGAGACGTATATACAAAGAGAAGGGAATAAACGCACTAATAAGAAGCAAATGATAAAGACACAAATAAATAAAAGATGAAGGCAATGATGTAGAAACGTAAAAACATCCGAATTCATAAGCTTGAAAAAGAGGTTCATCATTAGCGTTTTAGACTTCTGCTGAATCACTTCCGGATACCCTTAAATTTTGATTTTTACTAACTGTGTCCCACAGAGACGGAATAAAGAGTATCAAAACAATGAAAGAAAAGAAAGCAGCAGCAGCGGTAGCTACAAGGATTGATGTAGAAGCAGCGCCTCACACCGCGTGACGCCGCTAATAATGGCGAGGTTTGAACATGTATTAAATAGTATATAAAGATCTAATGTAATGAATATGCATACACCTGGGTTCCCCCTCACAGTAATATGATTGGCTGGTGTCAGCCATAAATACAGACTGATGTGGAGGTACATGAACGACGCCTATTGTCTTCGCCTATTGCCTACCACTACGACGAGGACCAATCCATTACGGTTACCTGCTAGATTGTCTTACCAGTTACAGTAGTCAACAACCGCTTGCTACTTTAAACAAATATATCCCTTTACGGGACATATCAAGATCTTTTCAAATGTACTCAGATTTTTTATGTGATGGCATGGTGTAATAGCGTTCCAGAGTCATGAGTACTACGCTCGAGTTACATATAAAGCAATCAGAGATAGAATTTTTGGCGCGAAACTTTTTTAGGACAAACATAAAACAGTAGGATTTTGTAAGAAGTCAAATAATGCACCCGAAAAGTAAGGGCTGAAAGTAGATCCGTTTTTGGCGTCACGAGAATGCAAATCTGTAATACTGTCAAATTTCGGCACCGGCAATGAGAAGTTTGAAATTCAAAGCCTCATTTTGGTACCATAAGAATTCTAGTTGTTCCGGAAATTAAAAGCGACTGTAAAAGGTTAAAAAATTTTATCCGATGTCGAAGCTGAAGTTGCTGTGCGCAGTTGGATCGAAAGTAAACCAGGAAATGTCTTCATGAGCGGAATGAAAAAGCGAGTAGGATGTTTGGAAAAAATATGCTGCACTAAAAGATATTTTGAAAAATAAATTTACTTCAGTTTTATACCAGTTCCAATATTCTATCTGGTCTAAAAACTTCTTTTATAGAATTGGAAATATCATTTAGAATTTAATATTTTTAACACCCGTAATTTTGAAGAAACTAGAAACAACGGGTATATTATAAAAAAAAGAAGGCTTGAAGAATCTAACACTCACAGGGCGTAATGAAAGCAAGAGGGACAGTGGAAAGCGGCAAGGTTGTGTAAATAGTTGGCAGAACAGGGATTAACAGAAATAGAAAAACACAAGCCTTAATTAGAGCTACAAAGAGTAGGAAGTTGTAGAGAGCCATAATCACCCACACACTGGAGGGATACGGCATATAGAAGAAGAAGAATTTTGAAAGAAAGAAATTTTCTCCATTTTGATAGCAGTTTTATTATTCAAGCTTATGTAGAATTAGTTTTATAGGATTGGAGACTTTATTTATGAATCGATCTTCGTAATTTTGGGGAGAAATAATTTTCCTTCATATTGATAAAAGTTTCATTATTAGATGTCGTTTCAAACATCTTTTATACAATTAGAGAGCTATAGAAAATAAACCCTATTTCCAATAACTTACTTGCATGCATACCACATTAAAACACGTCCAAACTGTATTCTAATACTAAACAATATTTGCAAATATACCAAAAAGATTCCACACACAGTTTAAATCAAAGCGTCTATTGGTTAGAAATTAACATTCCCATGTGAAATATTTGACCAATCAGTGAAAAAGAAAACCCTATTTTTCTCGAGCTTATTTTTTTTTTTTTTTATAAAAACCCAAAGATTTCGACTTTTACCAGCAGAGATGCAACTGACTCCAAGACGTTCAAATACAGAAGAAAACGTGACTAAATAGCTTCGCACTCCCAGCGCGTACTGAAAGAAGCATGTGTCAGCGACTTCAAACGAATCAACCCCAACAACATCGGGGGACAGTCAGTGAATTTTCGCTGACGATCAAAGTCTTTTGTCAAGACCAACTTTTTACTGTGGTTAATCTACTCAAAAGTATTTTGTCAACCACAGCTTTGACCGTGGACCAACTATTAAAAGTCTATTCTAAACTACAGAACTTTCTGTAGAAAAACCACACAAAGAGTTTAACCCAATTAAAAACTATTTTTTACTCCTTTTAGGCTGTTATGAATTTATGTACATATGTTTGCAAATAGAAATTATTTATTTAACAGGCATGAGACCATGTTTCCTTTATTTTTATTTTATTATTGTTTGGAATCCGAACATTCGAATTTTTAATATAAAAATACCTGAATAATATTTTGGTTTGGTCTGTTTTTACGGAATCAACAACAATGGGTTATTTAATGCCGACAATTTTTATTGCTGGTGATATTTTTTCCTTCAAAAATCTATTTCTGGTGATATTTTTTTCTTAAAAAATCTATTTCTAATTATATTTTTTCTTCCAAAATGCATCGCTGGTAATATTTTTTTAAGAAATGTATAGCTGGTATTTTTTTTAATTTTTTTTTTTTAAATGTATTGCTAGTGATATTTTTTTTTCAAAAATGTATATTATTATTATTATTTTGTTTTACGGCATATCAACCTCAATGGGTTATTTAATACCGACAAGATTTTTATTGCTGGTAATATTTTTTTTATCTATCTATCTATCTATCTATCTATCTATCTATCTATTTCAGTATATATTGGTTTGGTTTGTTTTGTTTTACGGCATATCGACCTCAATGGGTTATTTAATGCCGACAAATTTTTTATTGCTGGTAATACGTTTTTCCAAAAATATATTTCTGGTAATACGTTTTTCCAAAAATATATTTCTGGTAATAATGTATTGCTGGTAATCATTTTTTACAAAGTATTTCTGGTATTAAAACCTATTTTTACACTTTCATGGTGTTTTGACCCCAGTTTAAAATTAACTATTTACCCATAGCTAGGACCCTAACAGGTGCTACCACCCCGGGTCAGGGTGGACCAGGAAAAACACCAGCAATTAAGAGGTGGTTCCACGCTTCTCAAAACCTCCTGATCAGAGGCCTTGCTGTTGGACGTAGTTTATCGTCATACCCAGGACACCATAGATGATAGAATTTCCTACAACCTTATTTAGCTGTCAATGCTCGTAACGCTGAAGAGAAAGAAATATCCTTCAACTTGAAACCAGTTTCATTATTCCCTCTGATCTAAAATTTGTTTTATACATTTTAAGACCTTACTTATCAACCAATTCTCGTAATTTTGAAGAGAAACAAATTTACTTCTTTTGATACCGGTTTCATTATTATCTTATGTAAAGTTTGTATTATAGGATTGAAAACCTTAATTATCAGTTGATCCTCGTGATTCTGAAGCGAAATCAATTTATTTTATTTTGATACCGGTTTCATTAGTTTATCCGATTTAAAAGTAGTTTCGTAGAATTGGAGGCCTTACTTTTCAATCAATACTTGTAATTTTCTAGGGGAATCAAATTACTTCATTTCGATGACAGTTTCATAAT